CAAGCGTGAGGAGGGGTGAGGGGTTGTTAATGGCCACGCAGCAGTGGGACCCTGATGTGTGTTGGGGACACCCCTCACCCCCCTTTGTGCTCCAAGCTGCAGGGAGGGTCACATTTCCAGGGTGCTGCCTCTCAGGTGGCGAGCCTCTGAATTCCCCTCTGGCTTCTAAACCCGTCTGGCTTAGTGTGTGTGGACTTGGGGCTCAGGATGGAAAATCCAAACCCTGGAATTGCCTCTGACCTACGAGGATGAGCAGGAGTGTGGCTGTGAGGGTCACTGAGAGCATTGATGAGGGTCAAACCCAGGCCTGGTGTCGCCCCAGGGGCCCACCTGCTTCTCGTCCCCCCCAGGGCCTTCTCCTTCTGCTGTTCCTCTGTGCCTCTCCCTGTCTGACGGCTGCCCTGGCTGCACGGCCCCAGTGCACCACCCTCCCTCTGACAGCCAGAGAGACGCCTGGGTGCCCCCCTGCTCCCGCCATCCCTGCCCAGACCCTTAGGGTGCTCTCCGAGGTTTGCACCACGTGGCCTTGCTTCCGCAGCTCTCGTGGCCCCCGAGCGCTCTCCCTGACTCTGCCCGGGGCTCGCCTGCGTCCAGCCTTTGCCTGAGCTGCCCCCCACTGCCCTCCTGCCCCAGGTGGTGCTCTACCTGCTCTGAGCCCCGCAGGGCCTGGGCGCGTGTACACGCTGGCAGGTCCTGCTGGCTCCACCGGCTGCCACACTGTGGAACGTAGCGGGTGTTCAGCTGGTACTAGTTGGATGTCAGCACTTGCCCCAGACGTTTTTAAACTAGGGTTTATTTTGCTGAGGAAGCTGCGCTGGGCCCCTTTGAGATCTGTCAGGGTTGCTCTTGCACCAGCAGCGCAGACGGTGATTTCCAACGGTCTGCTTCTTGCAGCGGTCACTGCCCAGCCATGATCAGATCACTGGACGAAACATAAAGCTTCCGGGAAAGAAATGAAAATCAACTGTTACACTGAAACATTATGGAAGGTCACCTATCTTACCAGCTACCTTAATACACAGACATTTGAGCCCCTTAGGCAGAGGCTTGTCGTGCATGTGTTTTGTTTCATCCTGGAAACCGTCATAGATTGGGGTCCCTCGTGCCCCATGTTGGACCACCACCCCTCAGTCTCAGGGAACAAGAGAAATTGTTCCAAGATAAGCAGGATGCACCTCTAGTTATTTGAGGGGAAAATATTTGCCTCAACCTGATTAAAAGTCAAGTTCTCTGTCCTGGGAGAATGATTAACGTGTCTTGAATTCAAATTGTTTTAGTTTTGGTTATTAGGAGCAAGTTTTGAATGTTGTGCTGGGAAGCTTTCTCTGGAGCCAGGTTAGCTTTCCTTGTTCAGCAGGATGTAAACTTCAGATCTGACCCTTTGAGGGATTCTCTAACTGGAAATGCTTAACTCACAATGGAAACTTATCTCCAAGAAAATACTTTCCTTACTGAACATAACCAATGTTGATGTGTAGATTTAAATTTTATTCAGACAATAAAAATGTTTGAACAATTGATACAATCAGCTGTTGCTTCCTCATTCTTTTCTCAGCTCTCAGCAGCTAATCATAGGTTAATTGGTCAGCTTGATTTACCTTCATCTCTCCATCTGCAATGTAAAGTTTTATTTATAAGGTTAGAAACACAAGACAAGGGGACACAAAGGCAAGAAAGTTAGAGGGGACTGGCAGGGATGTCACACGTGAGGTACCTGCCAGGGGCTTGATTCTCTTGCTGTTGTTGGCCTCCAGAGTCAGTGCTCAGCTTTCTCACTGATTGTGGGAAGGGGGCGTCTGGGCTGCGCCTCTCCACAAGGCGTCTGGTCACAGCAGAATTCACAAGAACCGCCCTTGCAAGTGGCAGCCGTAGGAAGCTGAAGACACAGCTCCGAAGAGCTCGGTAAACTTACTAGGGGCACTGGGGCAGCATGTCTTGACCTTGGGCTCCCCTCAAAGACATGTGCCTGGCATTTTCACTTGGAATTTCTGGTGCTGTTTTGAAAACCCTCTTTCCTCACTCAGGATTAGGGTGATAGCGATAACTTCAGAGTTACTTGTTTTCTTCAGGGAAAATAATTCAACCAATAGTTTCTATGTGATGACTATTATTGGTATGTGACTTGCAGCTTTCGTCCCAGGGCAGTGGTGCCCCAGGGGCCATTTGAGACCCGTGCTGCATATGGTGGAGGACAGCTGCTTTGGTGGCTTTAGGCAGCCTCTGATGCCTGTCCCACGGCCAGGCCTCTTGTGCAGGATGCAGCGAGCCTGAGACCTCGTGTTCCCTGATGCCCCTGGTTCTTGGGAAGGTAGGGGAGCAGGGCTTGCCCTAGAGACCTCTAGGAATAGGTGAGTGTTGAAGCGGCCTGACGGTGGCCAGAAGACTTAAAACATCAAACAGAGCTTCAGTGGCCTGTTGGATAATACTGAGTGGTCCAACACGTGTCATCTGAGACCTAGAAAAGCGGGAGGGAGGGTGGAAGGCAGGCAGAAAAACATTGGAAGAAACCATGGCTGAAATTTTCCCAAATACAAGACGTGTAAGCCCACAGATCCATGAACCTCAGCAGACAGACCAAAAACCCCACCAAACCCACTTCAAGGCTCATGATAATCTGATGAAGATCAAGGATGAATAAATCTTAAAAGCAAACGAAACAGGCACGTTATGTACTGGTGAGCAAAGACAAGGATGACAAGCGACTTCTCATCAGGAACAGACATGCCGGAATGACGTCTTCAAAGTGTTGAAACCTTACATTCCATATTCAAAGAAAACAGAAATGAAGGCAGAGTGGACCTTTTCCAGACAAACCGACGCTGAAGGAGTCGTCCAGCAGCCTCGCCTCACGAGAAACGTTCGGTTGTTTAGTTGTGGGAAAGAGATCCTGGGTGGAAGCCGATCTTCAGAGAATGAGGAGCACCCGGCGGGAAGTGTGTGGTAAGTATAGAAGCTTTCTCCCTTTGTCTAAAAGATTTTTTCTTTAAAATTAACTTTTTTTCTTTTAATTAATTACTTAATTTTTGGCGATGTTGGGTCTTCGTTGCTCCACGTGGGCTTTCTCTAGTTGTGGTGAGCGGGGGCTACTCTTTGTTGCGGTGCTCGGGCTTCTCATTGCAGTGGCTTGTTGCGGAGCATGTGCTCTAGGCGCATGGGCTTCGGTAGTTGTGGCACGTGGGCTTGGTAGTTGTGGTGCACGGGCTTAGTTGCTCCACAGCAGTGGGATCTTCCCGGAACAGGGCTCGAACTCATGTCCCCTGCATTGGCAGGCAGAGTCTTAACCACTGTGCCACCAGGGAAGTCCCTAAAATTAACTTTTAAAAGCAAAAATAATAATGGTGGTTTTAACATAAGAAGTAAAAGGTACGACAACACAAAGGGTGTTGCAGGAGGATGGAGGCTCCTACCTCGTGTATACAGTGGTATGCTATGTAAAGGTAGACTGTGGTAAGCAGAAGAGACCTGCTGTAAGCCCTAGAGGAGACCACTAAAAAAGAAAGAGGTACAGCTGGCAAACTAATAAAGGAGTAAACTAACCCTCCTAAAATAAAAGAAGGTGAGAAAAAGAAAAACAAAGGACAGATGGGACAAATAGAAAACAAATAAGATAATAGGCTTAAACCCAACTCTTATGGACTGAATTGTGTCCCCTCCCCCCAAACTCATATGATACTGCATCTGGAGATGGGGCCTTTAAGAAGATAATTAAGGTTAAATGAGGTCCTAAGGGTGGGTCCCTGATCCAGTAGAACTGGTGTCCTTGTAAGAGAGAGAGACACCAGGAACGCACACACAGAGGAAAGACCACATGAGGACCCAGGGTGGGTGGTCTGCACACGAGGAGAGAGGCCACAGGAGGGACCAGCCCTGCCAGTACCCTTGTCTTGGACTTCTAGCTTCCAGAACTGTGAGAAAATAAATGTTGTTTAAGCCACCCAGGCTGTGCTCGTTTGTTATGGCAGCCCTAGAAGACTAATACACCAACCATTTAAATAATTTTATTAACTGTAAAGGGCCAACCACTCTGGTTAAAAGGCAGAGATTTTAACTAGAGATTGTTAACATTGGATGAAAAAGCATGACCCATCAATGTTGTCCATAGAAATTTTCAGTGTAAAGATACAGACAGGATAAAAGTGAAAGTTTAGAAAAATACATAACATAAAAACACAAATAAGAAGAAAAAGTGCTATATTAATATCAGTAGATTTCAGGAAAAGAAATAGTACCAGAAATAAAAAGACATTTACTAACAAAAAAAATGTCAATTCATCAAGAAGGCATAGCAATCTTAAATGTATGTGCACCTAATAACAGAGCTTCAAAATACATGAAGCAAAAACTGGTGGGACTAAAGAAAGAATTGGACAAATACACAATTGAAGTGGGAGACTGTAATACTTGTCTCAGCAACTGTAGACAAAACCTTCAACCAACTTGAGGAATTGGCATCTGTACAGCTCCCGGCATTCTTTCCTAGTGCTCATTCACTAAGATAGGCCATATGCTGGATCATGAGACAAGTCTCAAGAAATTCAAAAGGATTGAAACTGTACAGAGTGTACTGTGACCACCGTGGAGTTAAATTAGAAATCAGTAACAAAAAGACTTAGAAAATCCCAAATATTTGGAAATGAAACAATACATTTCTAAATCATCTATAGTAAAAAATAAAAGCACAAGGGGAATTAGAAAATATTTCAAGCTGAATGAAAATAAAAGCATGACGTCAAAATTTGTGGGATGTAGCTAAAGCAGTGCTTAGAGAAATGTTTACAGGCTTACATATTAATGCTGTAGATAAGGTTTAAAATCAATGATTGGGCTTCCCTGGCGGCGCAGTGGTTGAGAGTCCGCCTGCCGATGCAGGGGACGGGGGTTCGTGCCCCGGTCTGGGAAGATCCCACATGCCGCAGAGCGGCTGGGCCTGTGAGCCATGGCTGCTGAGCCTGTGCATCCGGGGCCTGTGCTCCGTAATGGGAGAGGCCACAGCAGTGAGAGGCCCGCGCAAAAAAAAAAAAAAAAAAAAAAAAAAAAATCAATGATTTAATTGTCCATCTTAAGAATCTTAAAACCAAAGTAAGTAGAAGGAAGGATATACCAGACAAAAGGGTAGAAGTCAAATGCTACAGAAAACATAAAAGATCAATGAAACCAAAAGTTGATGCTTTGAGAAAAGTAACAAGCCTCTAGTCTGACCAAGTAAGAAAGAAAACAACCTATATCGGGAATACAAAAGGGTACCTCACTATAGATCCTGCAGAAATAAGTCGTCCAGCCTGCCCCCCTAAGCCTGGCCACCCTTCTCCCTGGATCACACGGTTCCCACATGCTCTGCTTTACATGCTCCTGCAAAAACCTGCTAACACTGTTTCTGCACTTTCACATTTGGTTTTCTGCCTCGGCTGGACCTGTTAGTCCTCAGAGGCGTAACACCTCAGAGAAGATAATAAGGAAATATGAGCTATGTAATGCCAATACTCCACAATGTAGATGATGTGGACAAATTCCTCAAAAGACACAGTTGTTGTCTAGATGGGCATGAGAAGAAATGGAAAACTTAAGTGACTTTATGTCTATTTAAGAAATTGAATCAGAAACTAAAAGCTTTCCTGGAAGAAAACTTTAAGCTCACTGGCTTTGCTGGTGAATTTATCAACCATTTAAGGGAGAAATAGCAATGTAACACAACATCCAGAAAATGGAGGAGGGAACACTTTGCAACTCATTGTATAAGGTCAATATGACCTTATATATAAGGTCATATTGGTCATATTGTATATGACTCTACAACCAGACCAGGACATTACAAGAAAAGGAGATACAGATCAATTTCCCTCATGAATATAGAAAATACTTAAAATATTAGAAGTTGAATCCAGTGATGTGTTAGAAGGGAAGTGCATTATGACCAGGAAACTGGCAGGATGTTCCCAGGTCCATGGCTGGAGGGTACCACCTTGAGAGGGTTTTCTTGTGGGGGGGAAGAAATGGCATTGTAAGTGTGAGGGGAGGGGCCAGCGGAGGGGAGCTACTCACGCCCGGCCCTGTTCTCAGGAGGCTGGTGGGGCATCTGCCCTGGGGCCTTCCTCAGAGGCCGCTGTCCACGTTCCCGCCGACCTGTCAGCTCTGTCTCGGGATGCAACCCTTCTCCGCAAATCCCACCCGAGATTGGGTGGGCGACGTTACGCTAAGCTGTGAGTCTGGGGAAGGCAGGGCTGCGTTCTGCATGGAGGTTCCTCCCCCTTCCCCTGCCCTCGAGGCATCGAGGCGTCCGCTGAAGGGGAGAGAAGACCCTGCTCCTGTTCTGGGCTGTGTCCTCAGGCAGAGCAGCAGGCGACCCACCTGCTGCCTTTGGAGCCAGGAAACGGCACTGAGTTTATGCCCCTCCCCGGTAGTTAGTGGGAGTGGAGGGGGGTCACGGAGGTCACCCTGACCAAGGACTGCAATCTGGCAGGACTCTGCATGTGGTTGGTCCAGACGGCCCTGGGCCCTGGCCAGGGGTCCTCGGGTCCAGTAATGGTCAGTGTCCCTGACACTCAGTGCTGGTGGCCTGTGTGGGGACACTGACGTGCTGCCTGGACCCTCTGGACTAGGGGAGTGTGGTCGGCAGGTGGCCTCCAGCTGCCAGCCCCCTCGAACCCGCTGGGGCTGCGTGGGCTGTGGGGGCCATCGAGGGGCTCCCGGCCCGCCTTCCTTGCGTCCACGGTCTCCTCTCCCTCAGGGGTGCGGCCCAGAGTTCTTGCTGTTCCTGAGACATGCCAGAACCTTCCTGTCTGGGCCTCGGCCTGTGCTGTTCCCTGCGCTGGGGTGCCCGTCCCGCGAGGTCGCAGGCGCCCCCTCCCCTCTGCTCCTTCGTGGCCGCGGGGCACCGCTGCTTTAAGGGCGACATCACAAGGCTGCGGAAGGCCAGGGGCGTGGAACTCCGGGCTCTTCTCTTGGTGTTTCTGGAGCGCCCCTGGGCTCTGGATTTCCACCTCCGTGGGACCACGGGCCCGCATGTGAGCACTGAGGACGCGGCCATGGCTGAGGGCAGCGAGCTGGTGAACAGGCTCATGATCGAGAACGCAGACCTCAGGAAGCAGGTGCGCCTCATGAAGGAGAACCAGATGCTGAAGCGGCTGCTCAGTGAGAGCTGCCAGGAGAGCTGTGGGCGCGGGGGCTGCGACCTGCTCATCCCCAAGGCGTCTGCCTACCCTGAGGCCTGCTTGCCTTGCAGTGCAGGTGAACCCGGGCCTGTGTCCTCAGGCGGGTCCGCACCTGGGAGGAGGGCGGACAGGTTACACGCTTGGGCTGGTGGGGCTCTGTGTCCGTGGTGGCCGCCGAGGTGCTGTCACAGAGGCTACAAACAGCACGTCCAGGTCCACCAAGGTCAGCCCGGGGGTGCTGGCGGGGCCGGGCCATGTGCGCCTCTCCTTTCCTGGGAGCCGGGCCCGCCGGGCATGCTCAGCCCTCGTCCGGGGCAGCTTCGCCCGCCGCGCTGGCCGTCAGTCAAGGCCCGTCGCCTGGACCCCACGACAGGAGTGGGAAGGGCGCCCAGGAGGGGGGAGCTGCAGCATCACCAGCAGGAAGTGAGTGAGGAACCGTAAAACAGCGCGCCCTGTGGGAGCCGCTGCAGAGGCCGTGACACTTGCTGTGAAAGTCAGTTGGCTGTGCTTTAAGCATTTTCATATGTGGAGCATGATTTAGGGCGTGGTTGGAGCCCTGACCTTGGTCTGAGTGGTTGGGATGTGGACAGTGGGCCCCTGACCAGGCAACCTCCTTGTCCCTGGAGGTGGTGATCACTCACTGCCCAGTAGGGCGGGCAGAGTCCACACCCCAGCCCTCGCCTGGGGGTGCCCGCGCCCGTGGACCTGCCATCTCTTGGGATGAGCCGTTTTTAACGACAGGGTGTGAGATGGTTTCCTTTCCTTTTGGAAGCAGTTGAAGCTGCTTCCAAAGCTGCTGCCAGTTCCGCAGCAGGATGCCCGGCTGCTCCGGGGCCCTCCGTTGTGTGGTCACCTCCTGGAGTCCACCGAATGCCTGCTGCCACCCTGAGCAAGCAGGCCCACGTGGAAGGTGGCACCATCACCCATCAGCCCCCTGCACGCAGCTTGTGGGCGCAGGGCCCCGTGAGCGAGCGTGTCCCCAGGGTGCGAGGGTCCCTCACGGCATCTCCACACCTTCAGCCTCAGGGGGGCCTCGAGGAAGGAGCTCAGACAAGCAGGGGGTCCTCGTGGGGGATGGAGGGTAAAGGAGGGGGCCCTGCCGGAGCTCAGGACACACACTTGTCCCCGGGCGCTTGCTGAGGAGGGGCTGGCCTCACGGTGCTGTGTCCCGCGTGTGACGCCTGCAGAGCGCCCGTGCCGCCTTCGCAGCCCACGAGGGCCGCCTAGTGCACGGAGGCTCATGGGGCACTTGTCCCAAGGCCTCGCCTGCACTGTGACAACTGTCAAGAGTCACCTGCCTTGTGCCACTCTGTCACCCTTCATCCCAAGAATGGGCCTACCCTCAGGGCTCAGAGCCATCCACGTGGTCAGCGGGCACAGGCTCTCTGGGCCCCCCCTCACTGGGCTGGAAGGGTGGGCTGCGGGCGAGGTGCAGGCCCTCACTCAGGCTGGGCTGTTCCCCATCAGAGTCCAAGTCGGGCCAGAGTCTCCGGGACCATGGCCAGCACCCCGCCTGTGGGCAAGCCCAGATCCTGCCGGACAGCAGTCTTAGGAGGAGCCCCAGCCCCTGGCCAGCCCGCGGCCACCAGGCCTTCCACAGAGAGGCCTTGGAGCCCCAGCTGCAGGGCGTGGGCCAAGGTCGGCATGGGCCCCAGCCATCCTCAGGGTCACCTCCATGCCCAGGGTTCAGCCTTCGGCAGAGGGTGCAGAGTTGGCCTTGGGGCTGGACTTGGAGAGCCAGCGGGTGTTCCTGCGAGCAGCTCAAGGTGCAGACGGGAGAACTGCACACAGCAGCGGCTCACTGTCTGCATTCGAAACAGGACGTGCTCTGAAGACCCGTTTTTCCCATTTACCAGAGTCGCTCAGGGAACGTAACTGCCCCCAGGCTGAGCCTGAGCTCCTGACCCCACCCCCAGAGGGGGCCGCTGCCAGCGTCTACTCGGCGTCTCTCTGACATTGTCAGTGGCTGTGTGTGTCTAGGGATCCTTTTAGTTACGTAAATGGGGCTGAGCCGTTCTACACTTTGATTTCCCCAACCGTCCATCTTGCTGTCATTGCCCGTCGGCCCTCTCCTGGAGGGCACACTCTTCCCTGTGGGTTCACCACAAGCCCTTCAGCCTGGACCCCACGACAGGAGCTCCTTTCCAGCTCCCTGTGACCACGGATGGCCCCACGTGTGCATCTGCGGCCTGCCGAGGGGTAGCTGTCGGGAAACCCTTAGGTCAAAGGCCACGTGCAGTTGAAACGTTGAAGAGGACACTGGGGCCCTCTCCAAAAGGCTGCGGCCTCTACACCCTGCAGCTTCCCCGTACACGGCCTCACCTGTGGGAGCTGAGCCAGGCCACACCGGGGTCTCCTGGGGCCGCTTCGAGCAGATGGTACACATGATCCAAGGGACAGAGGTGGGGCGGCCTCGACCGCCCCGGCGCCTCCCTCCTGGGCCTGATTCCTTCAGACCATCCTGGTCCCCGAGCCCCTCGAGTCATGGAGCCTCCGCTGTTGCCTGGACTCCTTGCTGTCCTGGGTGCAGTGTCAGGTGATTTAAGCAGTTTCTGAGTATCTCTCTGCCTCTTTCCCTTTAACACCGTGATGTGGCTGTTTCTGTATTGTTATAAATATATTTCAAATGGCTGTGTAATATTCCAAAAATCAGATGAACCACAATTTAGTGAACTCTTCTTATGTTTGAAATGACAGTTCTTTTTTCTTACGCCGAGGTAAATACCACAGCAAAATACTTTATATTTAGGGTTATTTCCTTAGGGTATGTTTTCCTAAAAGTAGAATCACTGGCTCAGAAGGCAGGGGTAATTTTTTTCACATTTCTTCTGCGTACATTTACCCAGAGGATGATTTCATCTACTGCACTTTTATTAAGCTCTTTTGGCTCTGTTTCTTCAAGTCTCTTCAGCCAGGTCTCACACATAAATCTTTCACGTTAATTAGTTTATCCCTGGAGCACTTTATGTTACTCGTTGTAATCATGGATGGGATTTCTTTTTCCACTGTATTTTCGTTATCAGTGTTGCTGTGTTTTGGAAAGCTGTTGATTTGTAGATATTTATCCTATGTCCAGCCTGTTCATAAGCTGTTTTATTCTGCTAAGTTTTTCAGTTCATTCTCCTATGTTTTCTAAGTCTGTAGTTGCTCTGTTTACAAACGATCATTTTAAACGAGGTTGGCAGCTCATACACTTGTTTCTGTCTTTGTCTTTGTTCCTCAGAACTCCCAGGACCTTTGGCCTTGGCAGCCTCCCCGCTATCCTCCTGGTGGGTGGTGGGCAGTGAATGGCCCTGTCTGCCCAGGGATCGGGGGGTGTGCAGTCTGGGTGCTGGGGAAGAGTCTTTCTAGTCCTTTTTTTTTTTGCGGTACGTGGGCCTCTCACTGTTGTGGCCTCTTCCGTTGCGGAGCACAGGCTCCGCACGTGCAGGCTCAGCGGCCATGGCTCACAGGCCCAGCCACTCCGCGGCATGTGGGATCTTCCCGGACCGGGGCACGAACCCGCGTCCCCTGCATCGGCAGGCAGACTCTCAACCACTGCGCCACCAGGGAAGCCCGTAGTCCTTATTTTTAAAGAACAAAAAAATAAGAATTGAGAAACGGCTTATTTTGTTAAATTTTTATGACCTCGTTTCGGCATCGGCGGAAGTGCCCTCAGCTGCTTCTCACAGCTCGTCTGCGGGGTCTTGTTATGCTGCTTCGTTGAGAGACCCCGTGGGTCCTGGGTCTGAGCTGTGTCTGTTGTGGCATCTGTTTGGCTGGGGCTTTGCTTAGGATCTCTGGACTCTGTTCCTACATGAATCTGGGCTACAGTTTCCTTTCTGTGGGCTGTCTTTGCAGGGATTTGATATCAGAGTTGTGACAATTTATAACCTTAATAATCAAGCATCTTTTAATTTTTTCAGTGTTCCAACCTCGTTTATATGATGTAGGGATTGTGAATTGTTTGGGAACTTGAAAGAACTCACTCACCAACCAATCACCCAGGCCTGCAGCCCTTTGCAGCATAACTATTCTGTAACTTCTAGGTTTTCCTTTTTTGCTTATTGGTCCATTTAGGTTTTCTACTTCTGAGTCATTTAAAATAATTTCCCAGATGATCTCTCCTTTTATTAAAATTTTCAATTAATATTCAATTATATATAATATCGATACTTTTATAATTTAAACATTATCTTCCTAGTCATTCTTATGTCACTTTTCTCATTTCCAATTCTATTCCTGTGTGTTTTCTGTTTCTCTGAAGTAGCTTTCCACAGCTTCGCTGTCTCATTGGGCTTCGCACAGAGCCGTTTCGAGTTTATTTCTGCTGCCATTTTTATTATTTTCTAACTTTTTCTTTCTTCAAGAGTTCATTCCCACATGAACGTTTAATTTTTTGGTGATGTTTTAGAAGTAATTACAGGATTTAAGTTACTAATTTCACTCTAAATACAGTTTTTGTTTTATAAAGTATTTTTTTAAATTCATCTTTTGACTGCGTTGGGTCTTTGTTGCTGCAATGCAGGCTTTCTCTAGTTGTGGTGAGCGGAAGCTACTCTTTGTTGTGGTGCATGGGCTGCTCATTGCATGGCTTCTCTTGTTGTAGAGCATGGAATCTAGGCGCGTGGGCTTCAGTAGTTGCAGCACATGGGCTCAGTAGTTGTGGCTCGCAGGCTCTAGAGCGCAGCCTCAGTAGTTGTGGTGAACGGGATTCCTTGCTCCGCAGCATGTGGAATCTTCCCGGACCAGGGCTTGAACCCATGTCCCCTGCATTGGCAGGCGGATTCTTAACTGCTGCGCCACCAGGGAGGTCCCTCTAAATACGGGACTTAAAAAAAAAATTATTTAATTTATTTTTTTAAGCAGCAGGTTCTTATTAGTTATCCATTTTATACATATTAGTGTATATATGTCAATCCCAATCTCCCAATTCATCACACCACCACCCCCACCCACCACTTTCTCCTCTTGCTGTGCATACGTTTGTTCTCTACATCTGTGTCTCTATTTCTGCCCTGCAAACCGGTTCATCTGCACCATTTTTCTAGGCTCCACATGTATGTGTTAATATATGATATTTGTTTTTCTCTTTCT